AATCCCCTGCCCTCATGCCCTGTCGCATCCCAGTCCCCAGAGGTGTTTCTGAACCGAGAAATGAGCCGCTTGGTCAGCGCCAAGTGCTGCGGAGCTGTCGCAGGTCTGTCTTCACCACAGACACCGCCTCCTGTTTTTCAACTAACTGCTCTCTATCCGTTTGCGATGTTGGGCACGAGCCTAAATTTCGGAGCTGCTTCTGTAGCAGTGGTGAGGACAGGGCCAGGGGAAGGACTGAGGTCCCCCGGGGTTGCGCGGCTGTGGAGCCCCACACACGGGCACACGGCGTTGTGTCCGTGCCGTGCCTCTGGAACAAAACCTAATTAATCCTGGCTGGAAATCTCACCCAAACAGAGCCGGGTTTGATGGCACGCTTTTCCATGGATTCAGAACCGTGGGGAATCTGTAGCCAATAAATGAACAATGCACCAGCTGTGGGAAACCAGCCCAGTTCTGGCCACAGTAAATCTGTGCCTTCGATATTGCCATCCTGCTACGGGAATGCTGCAGCAAACGAACCTAACAGCCCCCACATCTACAGGTACTTGGAAAATACCTAATTGCTTACATATTTTTTCCCTTTCGACAGCAAACACCCACTGGTTTTTTCCAGAGCAGCACGACTGATCTATATGGAACATACCGGGAAGCCAAGTGGGTGATTGTCTGTGCTGTTTATTTTTATGTAAATCTTTTGTGTAGACAGGAGACTATACAAACAAAATGCAGATGTTAGTAAAGTAATCTTAAAGTGTTCAACAGCAATCAGTGGGATTTATTATTTGGAAGACAAACCCTGTACTTACATTCAATTGAAATTGCCTATACTTGACAGATTTTCTTAAGGGCGAAGGAAATAATAAGGCTTTTGATGAAAAATGGCTGAAATTATTCCCTTTAAACCAGGAAAAATTGGTGCATGGAAGAAATATGGATTTGAAAAATCCATTTGTTATAGGCATGCAATATTTTCTTGAAGTCTTTAATAGCTGGAAACTCCTCTGTTCTATTATTTTGTGCCCTGTTCCCTACCTTCCCTGAATGTATTGCCATTTGTAATGAATACTTAAGTAACAGCACTATTGCTTTTTCACTCGGTAAAATGTGTCACTTTTTAAGAAATAAGTTTCTAAGTAAAGTAAAAACGAATTCCAGTATATTTATTTGCAGAAAGCCGGTTTATAGAGTACACTAACTTTTTGTAAGTATTGCTATTACAGCTTTTCGGCAGCAACTCAGCAGGCAATGCCTACCTACAGAAGCAACTAAGGATGAGAGGCTTAACTGCTTGGACAATTAAGAGTGGGGACAGCACCTGCTCAAATGTCTCCTTAAACCTTTTATTGAAGAATGATATCACACTTTCAACTAATAAAGTTTTCCTCTCGCTTTTCAAAGGGCCATCATCAGCACTGGAAAACCTCTCAGCACACACTGATTGCAGCACTGATGGCAAATATCAGGATGGGTGAACAAGGATTAGCTCTCACAATGTTACTGGATGGGCAGTATCTCCAGATAACAAACCTTCTTAAGAAAAGCTCTGCTAAAACCAGATAAAAAGAACCAACTGTGATATTCAAATGTAATAGCACTGAAAATATTCTTGTTCTGCATTTATGCTTTGAGCCTTTCTCTGATTTATTTACACTTAGGCAGATCAAAAAGAACTCAATTTAAAATTACAGAGAAAAGAAACCAGCACAAACTGTATAAAGCTCAGTGCCAGCATTCCATTGTGATAAAATACCTGTGATCTTAAAATAACTCATATGGTGACTGTTTCATAATCAGATCAAGATTTAAGTCTCTACGTTTTTCTCCAGCAAAAACAGATTTCCTATTCATCAGCAGGTTTGTCCAAAAATATTTTGACTGTTACCTTTATGTAGCAACTAAACTTGAACAATAACATAATTTTTTCACTGTAGCATCATTCCAGTAATTTCACTCTACAAGTAACACAAAACTTCCCAAGGCTTGAAATTAATTTGCCTTATCGTTTGCTTTTTTATTTCTCTTTATTACACAGAGTAGTTACAAAGTGGCAATGGACTAATCTCTGTGCTTTAACAATCCATGCAGGTGTTGACTTGCTAAATGCTTTAAACCTGAAATGAACCACATCAGTGCTAGCAGACTATTACCAGTTATTAAGGGTTTCTTGTGGAACATCAGATACCTGTATTAAACTTTTAATTGAAAGCTCTGTAAATGTGACTGCTTCACATGGGTCCCCAGACCAGTGACATCAGTCACATGGATAGAGTTTGGAGATGATAGTGTGCTACATTAATTCCAGGCATTAAATTGTCTCTAACATTGGAATCTATGAAGCGAAGACTTGAGTGTAATGAAGTAATTTAGAAATTTACTGTCTGTACAGTGAGAATGCATATCTTTAAATTAGAACATTTTTCCCAGCATTGCCTTTATAGTCTGGGCAGTCCTTTCTTCTTGCACCTTTCAGAGGGAGTTAGTATTCCAAGCACTAGGAAGAGATATCTACTTGTTTGATGAAATAAAATACCTCTTTTTAGGAAAGGCTTTGCCCTTTTGATTGAAGTATAAAAATCAGTGGAAAAATCCAGAGCACAAAATAGAAATGGATTTGAACTAAGTACTTTCTAATTATTATTTTCTTAGGAGCTGATAGTTTTCATCTATTCCCTAAAACACCCCCTATGGCATACAAAAGTATATGTATGGTACTGATTTGATTGTTGGTTTGTTTCATTAATTGTTTGGGCTTTTTTTTTTACATCTATAATTAGAATACTAACCACTGAATATTAAGAATATGCATCACTGAAACTAAGCAGTTCTATTTGCAACAATTTGAAGAAGGCAAGCACCAAAAGCATTTTCAATAAAGGCTATAAGAACAGGGAGTCAAATTATTTATGGCATGTGATGTGTTCTATGGCTCCTTGCTCTGCCTGCTCTGCAGCAAACAGAGGTATTGCTTGTTTAAGCCCTGGTGTGCTGCAGTTCAGTACAGTGTTTACTGATACTGCTCCTCTGTGCAACTGGTTCTGCCAGGCTGCTGACAGAGCTTTAGTTTGCTGCACATTGACCCTGCTTGCCTTTTTTCAGTCCCCCAAAAGTCACAGGTTTACACAGTAATTGCAAATCCTTCCATCCATCTTGCTATACCCCATGATATACAGAGGTGCTGGGCCTCCTGTCTGCTGTTCTTGGCTGCAGCACAAACTGCAGCTCCGTGCTTTCCACTGGCAGCTGGTAAAAAGAACATCATTTGCAGCCTTATCCCTGAAAACACACAATCAAACACAGACAAACCCAGCCCCAGGCTTTCTGCTGGAATGCCTCGGCTCTTGTAGGCACCTCCTACTCATTCCCTGGCCTCTCCTGACAGTGTCTTGCACCGTGCCCATGTGAGGCCTGTTTTGATGTGCCCTCTGCTGCCTCCACAGGGAGCATAACGTCTGGCTGGCAATAAAGTCACCGAAGTCAGGGGCCATGTCCATTTGTCACAGCCATGGATCAAGACAACGGCCAGCAGCTGATTATACCAAGATGAAGGTCTTGCTCTAATCCTGTAAAAAGCTTATCTGTTTCTTTATCAGTTTAACTACTGACAGTACTTAAAGATTAGGATTTTAAAATTAAACAGCAGGAAAAAATAAGCACTTCTTGTGAGAGCCATGGCACACAGCTTTTCAAAATATATTGCTCCCAATGCTAAAGGTGGTCCACGTAGTAAGTACAATTAATCTAGTTGGGATACAAGGCAGTTACAAGTTTTCTCGAGGCACAAAGTTTTCATAGAAATAAACCTCAGAGGCAGGGGAAGGAACAGAAGTATTAAAATCAGATAATTAGGCTAGAACAGCAGAAAGGAAGCTCACACAGCAAGGGGCTTTCCAAGAGATTAAACCTCTAAGCTTATGTTTAAATAAATCATTTGCTATGCTGAAAGAGCAGAAAAAGAATAGCTTGCTTCTCTGTTGACTGAACTGCAACTTAGCTATTAAGAGTCCAAACAAAATAGTATGACTATGCACAATATTAATTTGATATTAGAGGAGCTTCAGAACTAATGACCTTGTCTTTAGAACAAGTATTTGAAAGAAATGAAGACTTCCTGATTAGCTAACAGAGTAGCTATGGGAATTATTGCATCTTAAACTTATACCAGCTGTGTATTTCCAGTACAAGTGAAAATGCTGACGATGACACTGGGTCCAGTAGTGATAAAGATACAGACATGAAAGCTTTTCAATATAAATCTTCCCAGTCACACTGGTGTGAGTTCACTCATGTTACCAGCAATATCCAAAGTTTGGCAGCACCTGATCCAAGCTGTAGGTACAGACAATGTGATGCTGTACTCCATAATGATGATGGTGCATTGTGCAGTCCTGAGCTAGTGGTGTTAGTCCTTCATACTGTTCCTCTTCCTCCCACCCTTCTGCGTCATACACATCGTATCTGGAAGAATCTGCCTTTTCTTCACAACAGCTCAGCTCAAAACTGGCCTTCTTCAAACCCTAGATTTCTTAAGGTGCATTGTATCTGTTTTCTTTTAATATATGCCTAGACTTCAGAAAAAGTCTGTGTTCTGTATTTCAAGTTATGTACTAGCTCTACACAGCTAATCTCTTCAGAGATGTCTTCCAATGCTACTTGTAGAAACACCACTTCTGCTAGTCCCAGACAAGTAGCAGTTGTAAGCTCTAAGAAAGTCTAACATAGTCAGCTTTATTTGAAGGCCAGTTTCTTCATTTACTGGATTTAAGGATGGTACAGACAGTCAAAATTCAAGAATTTTTCCTGAACATACAAGAATACGTGGACAACTAGTGGTAATTACAGTATTTGTCTTCATCACAGTGATCATTTTTTATATATTTATTTTTTACATTGACTAAAACTCACGTTGTTTTCTTACTGTAGTTTTCACCTTCAGTGTACAGAGCCAGACTTACCAGCCTTTTAGACACCATTTTCAGTGAAAAGAACTCAACACAAAAACCTATGAACTCAGCACTTTATTTGATGAGTGCAAGCCCACAATTACTCCAGATTATTCTTCTGAAAGAACTGAATTCATAAATAACAAGTTAGTGGTAATTTATGTAGAACATGGGTGACTTAGAGCTCAGGTCCATCTTGAATCTTTATCCCAGTTTTGTTTTTACAACTCATCAAGGAAAGGAGTATTTCCCAAGTCCCCAGTAGCTGCCATTGATTTCTTCCCACTGACGAACTTCTTTGCAGCCTGAAAATGAATCAGGAAAGTGGCTGTCAGGAAATACTCACTGCAACAGCTTCCCATGCTGCTCACAGCCTCAAGTCACTAAACCAAACAACACATCCTGACACTACTATAACATCATGTAAACAATCTTCCTTTGGCTGCATAAACCTAATGGCTTCTAATCCAGCTGTTCATTATTTTATAATCTAAACACAAATGGCAGAATGACAGTTGGATATAAAAGGTATAAACTCAAAAAATGGTTATTCTTAGAAGAATTATTACACCACAAAATACAGATCTCTCCTCACTACTAAAGCTATTGCTAGTTTCTGCTGCAGCACAAATAAGCAATGAATGTAAAAAAAGCAAGTTTTATATCTTAGAAATTCTCTTTCTGATGTATTTCTGTATGAAGTTTGCTTCACATAAAAGGCACAAGATAATGTGCAGCAGCAATGCAGTTAAATCAATTTATCACTGAAAGCCTAATTGTTTTATTAAGCACATCAAATATTCTAGACTCAGGAATCCAAAAAGCCTTGACACAGAATCACCTGCACTGGAACTAATATGAAGTTCTCCATGAATCTTACTTGGCAATTTTGGTAAATTTAAGTGAAATAGATGAGAATTTTACATCAGTCCTAGCTACAGTACTTACAGTGTATTGGATTAAAGGATCTTCTGTCAATCAAGTATGTAAAGATATCAAGATACCCAGCTGGGATTTGTAAATGAATTGCCTCTTTTTTTAAAGACAGTATATGTGTGTGTTTACAAACACACACAGATGAGCGTCAGTTTTCCACAAAAACAACCCTTACAGAGTAAATAAGGAACACCTGTAGATGCCAACACATACTTACATTCACAACATCAGCAGTGGCTACAGAGTCGATTTTCTGAGCAACAACAGATGGTGACGTGTGTGTGCCAGAAACCAGCGACTCGGAGCCAATTTCATTCAGCAACCCTTGTGCTGTCTCCACTGACATCAAATAGTTGGCTTTCAGCTGATTCCTGCCATCAAACAAAGCATGAAGAATGAGTGAGCATCTGAGTCCTGCTATCACCTTTCCCACCACCCCTGTAAACACAAAGAGGTTTTGGTGCTTTTTAAGTTTTCCAGACTGCTCTCCATTTTGCAAGGCTTTCCTTTTCAAGCACAGAAGGGTTCCACAGTTAGGAAAGTGTCACCACAAATAGCCCAAGCATCAACGTGACAGGTACCTGAACACCTACTGCCTCCCCACATGGTCAGAAGATCTCTAGCTCAGGATTTCTGTTTGAAGTAACTAATGCAGTTAAGCAACTACTCTATGAAGTTTAAACCTAATGTTTCTCATGAAAAACAGATGCATGCAGAGCAATTTTGTGTTTAAAAGACAAGCAGTAAATGTAAATGGTCAGTCTCCTTGTGCAATAGTTCCATGTGTTGTTAAAAGACAGCAAGTTCACACTTTTTTCTGTTTTATGCAGTCTCACTGCTACATATGAAAATCTTTTTTTATAAGATTTTTTAAAAAATTTTTAAAAATGCAAAAAGATAGAAAATTATTTATTCCAATAGTAAATTATTAAGTAGCTTGGTATTTCCACCATTTAGCTACTAATGACCAAAGTAGAACCAATCATGTCTAGGCTATCAAGTTTTGAGTAATTATACTATACATGGAGTCTTATAAGTATTTTACACATTTACACATTTTACACAAAATTTTACTATTGAAGTGTTGGTATTACTGTTTCTGTAATAGTAATTTCCCCCCCCTCCATCTGAAACATTCCTAGGGGCATGTATTTCAAGCACTTGGATGGAACATCACTAATTCAGCACTTCACACTTGCAGACCCTCATTACTATTATTCTTTGAAGATGGCACAGATTGCTTAATATAATTGTTTTGGGAATTCCCGCAGTGCAACTGTAAAGGGAATTACCTAAATAATGCAATTTAGGATTCTAATTTAAATACATCTTAATACTGCAGAGAATGATTAAAACAACAGCATCTGCTGACATTAGCTAATTTCTTATATTGAAAACATGAACACTTACCTAACAAGCTTTTATTAGGAAATAACAATACTGGAGAACCAGTAGAGCTTTGGAAACCAGTACTGACAGCAGTTCAGTTTTAATGCAGGACCGTGAGCAGTTCCCCATGGAAATAACTACAGGATGAAACTCTGCTGTACAGACTAAGTGTTTGACAAAGTAGCTACATGCTAAGAAACTTTTCTTCACAGCACACGAGACAGTTCTTTACACACTTACTTTGCCGTTGTGACCTCGGCATCGGTGACACCGCCCTGAGCAACTGCCTTTACCTGGTTCAAAGCAGCTTTAATGACCTGAGGAAAATCACACCATTTAAAACTTCTTCCCACATTTAAACTTCAACATGTTATTTCTATGATCTGGGATCTTGGAAACTTCAGGGGAGAGCAGCTGACAGTGTTAGGATTGTCTGCCTGAACACAATTCTGAACGGCTTTATACAAAACTAAACCCGCTGTAATGAATGCCCCAGTGAACACAGAAACCAGTGCGGATTTTAACTGCACCACAACTTTAATTTATATGGTCCCACCATTTGTCATGAGAGTATTTGGTTCTGCCAGCTTCAAGAGCCAGCTTACAAATGTAAATCAGCAATTGCAGTCAGCAATTCAAGGCACTTTACTATTTCCAGTTCATATTATGTATCTGTCCTTCCCAGAAAGTAAGTCTCATTCTCAGCTTACAGAGCTGGGTCATAACTGAACATGCAGCATTCTGATATAGGAAACCAGATTAATTTCCTTTTTTTAGATGAATCAGTCACTATCACAAATCAAAACACTACTTTGAAGGTTATGTTGTTAATACTTAAATTCTCATCAACAACTCACCTCCCCAGTATTTGCAGCCTGGGATATGGTATAAATCCCAAAGAGCCCAGAATCAGAGTAATTAACATTAAATGCGGAAGCCTGCAAAAAACAAACATCATCAACTGTTTCAAGTACCAGAGCAATTCAGCATCAAACACAGGAAAATAATTACTATAAGGATCTAAAGTACTTAATTCAGGAAGCTAAACTCCATCTGTGCAGAGGAAAGATCAGATTGGAAAGCTTCATTGATACATTGTAACGTGTGCAAGAACGAAATAATTAAGACCACAGCCGAAGGTAGTAGCCTTTCAAAGATAATATACAGTTTACAGAAAACATTACAGAACTTACATCAAATGGCTGGCTAGTTGCTTTAGCAACAGCCTGGGACAATTTGCTGGTAACACAGCTTCCCCTCTTGACAAGGGGCCCAGCTCCTAAAACATACTGAAGAACACTGAAGGCATTTGCTTCTGCACTCCCAACAGCAGCTCCTTCTGCTACAATAGCAGCATGGACAAGGCTATCACCATTCTGTTTTCTGATTTCTCCTAAAAATACAAAACCAGAACAAAAGGTAGTAAGTGCTCAGTTAGAAACCACTGTGCATTCAGAGGTATGGAAAGGAAATATTTCCCTTTCACGAGAGGGAAGCCAGGGTCTGAAGTTACTGCATGTCTACTCAGGAAGACACCATGAAGCTGTTAGTAGACTGTACATAATTTTAAAAGTCCTTTACATTCAAAATTTTCTTGCAAGGACAAAACCAAGTACCTCACTGTGCCTTACTTGAACCTGACCCTAAACCATACAGTGTGGGATGATAAAACTCAGCGAGTCTCCACACAACAAATATCCAGAAAAGCAGTGCACCTTCTGTTCATAATAATATTTATTCTGGTTTATAGAAACTGGAGTTATTCCAGTCAAATATTAAATGTTGGAAACTTTCTTTCCCCTCCAATCTCTTTACAGAAACATCCAATACTCCAACTAACCAGTAGCTGTTGGTATCAGTGCAACATACTGCTCTGAAAGAACTAAGCATTGCTTTGACTTACAACATTTTAACACATCTTCCCTAAGAAGAAATGCCACCTTCACTTCTTGACAGCCCTTAACCTACTCTTAAGGGAATCTTACCAAAACCGCCAAGAGAAACCATATGCCAGCTTGTTTTTCACTTTATAGAATAAATGATCTTGCAGTAAAACTTTGTTGAAGATCTGGGTTCAGTTTTATGGCAGAACTTTCCACAGTGGGGAATAATCCTCTGCTTATTTAAATGGGCTACACCTCTGAACTGTCACCTCCCATGTCCAGCATTTAGTGCAGCTATATAGTTTTCAGTTGCAATTTTGAATAATACTACATTTATAACAAACAGGAAATCAGTCATTCAGAATAAGAAACTTACCCCCTCGATAAACAGCCTTTGCACCAGAAGCACCAGCTCCACTTCGGATATTTAGGAATTGCTCTGCCACTTTCTTTAAGTCAGAGTGCTTCACACCTGCAATACAAGTTATTCCAAGTAATCCAATGACATTGAAAAGCTACAGCAGTCAGATAAAAGGGTGTGAAGTGTGCACCACAACACTTTACTTCTAGAGAGAACTCCAATTTCTACTGGAGTTCTGTATGACCTGCAGAGTCCCTCCAAGAACACACGTACCTATTCCAACGAGAGCCATTCTCCCACTTGTGAAATTGTTCTGTACAAAATGGTGAAGCTGCAACAGTAAATTCACATTTTAGGGTATTTTGTATAAAAAACAAACATCTTGAGTGTGTTTCTGACATACCCCTTTGCAGCAAACCCCAATGCTTCCAAAAGGAACTGCCCATAGAATGGCACTTTATTGCATTCCCCAGTGACAACCACAAAACCCTTTTATACAAGAACACCTGCATTTCATTGACAGCCTTATTATCAACAGAAAGCCACTGACAACAACCACCTCTCTAAATGTGAATATGAGTTCTGTACCCAGTACTAAAAGCTGCATGAAAATAAAATTACTGGAACACTAGACTAATAAGGTAGTAAATACTAACTGTATATTTCCTAAATTAATTTTCTCTCATAAGTGACATCACCCGTTCCTATAAAAAAACTGAAGCAGATTCCTAACACAACACAAATAACCCTACCTGCTCAGAAGTAATTTTTCCAACTCTGTAATCTGGACAGTACAAGGGGTTTGCCAGAGCATTCTTGTAAGCTGCAGCATGCAAGTTTTCCAGCACTCCTAAGAGGAACAAAGTTTCAGTGATGATGGTTAATGTAACAGACACTTGTAATGAAGATTCTGAATGAAACTAAACAAAACAGAGCTGTGGTCCACTTTAGGGACCGTAGGATCTGCAAAAGCAGGGCTAGAATAATCCAGTCCACATGAAGTTTCATCCAAATCTTTGGGCTGGAGCAATCTGGTCTGAGGCCTTCTATCCTTCTGTAACTTATTAAAAAGAAACCAAAACAAACTAATAACTTGTATATGATCAACACTTTTTGGCCTTGACAGTAAGCTATAAATGCAATCAGTGTGTGGAGAGTGGGTACAGCAGAAAAAACCCACCATCTTTTAACCAGTTTCAGAATCATCATCTTCACCATAAGCTTCCCTTGTTCTTGATCTTGAGAAAAGAACAGGCTCTCTGTAATACTATTTGTAGCTTTGTGAGGTGTCTCATCTATCTCCCTATTGAGAT